GATGGTTAAATGCTGGTTGTTTCATGTTTGACAAGTCCAAAATGTGATTCCTGTCTGTTTTGACACAGAGATTATTTATGGGTGGAACCAAGCTAAAACCATTACTCACACTGGGGTGGCACAACATCAAGGGTTTTTTCTTTCTTTATTTTATCATTGTTGAGAATTTAGAAGCTGAATTCATCCAGAGTTCATGCGTCTGTTCTGGAAATGTTTACATACTAGTGGCTATTGAACTAAAAAATATCTCATTTGGATATTTAACATAACATTAAAGGAAACTGATGCATTTTTTTCCCTGTTCTAGTTTTGTGCCAAACGTAAATACATAGCATATATAATTATATTATGAGAATCTGCACATCATAGATCCTTTAAAGAAAAAAATACCCAAAGCAGAAGTATGACGGAAGCTAATAATGAATATCAGCCTTTCTGGAATGTGTGACTTCATATTCATATTTGTTGAAATGTGATTGAACCCTCAAATTCAAACTTAATCATTTTGTCAGAAGATGTTGAGGTCTGTTATTTTTTAACTATGCCCAGAGCCTAAACTGCTGAGCCACCACTTCCTCCAAAACACTGACAGGGCTCGTCCGGGATTTGAACCCAGGCCTCTCGCAAACTTTACGAGAATCATACCGCTAGACCAACCAGCCTGGACAGCAGTGGAGGAAGGGGTGATTTTTAAATGATTATTATTTTTAATTTCTTCTTCTTCTTCTTCTTCTTCTTCTTTTTACCCTAATCCTAACCCTCGTAGTAGTAGTATATTATTACTATTATTTTGTTAATTTCTAAGACTATTATGACTACTACTATAAAAATATATAGATTAAATATATATTTAATATTAACAGTAATAGATAGATAATAGATATCTATTATTGTTCATATTATAACTAAAACCCTGAAACAAACCCCTTCCGTGTCTTCATCTTGAAAGAAAAATGCGCAAGTTTCTTTCAAGATAAACACTAAATTTACCCTAAACTCAATCGACCCTGGTGCCGCATTTGAAGGGTTTGCACACTGCTCTGCCCAAAGCAGTGAAGAACCTGCTGATGGCGCTGCGCTTCTTTTCTGGTGTCCGCAGGTGCTTTCTAAAACAAGAGGCAATCCAGGCTCCAACTGCATCCTGCTGTAGATGCAGTGAAACGGCAAGGTACTGCGCATTGCCATACTTGCTGCGGAGC